AGTTTTAAACATTACAGTCTGGCCAAGCTGTAAATCTAGATTCAACATTTATGGTATTTTACAAAGAATGTGTCTGATGTATAGATGTCATATAAGATCATCACCTTTCATATGTTTGGCTCTAAGGACCCAACGATACACTGGGCAACTTTACACTGACCACGAGTGGCAAAATCCTTGTTGATGAGTTCTGCCTTCTCTGGTTTGAGTACTGCTACTTTTGGATTTGCAAAAGATTTTTATGATTTCCTGTCAGAAGATAATATTGTCAAACAATGAACCTCAGTCTGGTAAACGACATTTGCTGTATAAAGTAATGAGTTGTTTTAGCATTCACTTTCTGAGAGAACAATATTTATTTGTGGTTTTGGCTGTAGTGACTCTATCTGTGTGGTTTATTTGGTGAGTGCTGTCTGCTTGGCATTTCAGTTTGTTTCCACAGACATTTCGAGCTCTTTTGTTTTGCTGCAGCTATTTTTATGCCTGTCTGTTTATATTTAGTAACTGGCCACCGAGGAATTTTTGTCATATCAGTGTGTTTCTCCTCCAGTGGACACTGCAGAGCTGTTAAACTCAGCAGATAACAGGGTATCTGTGGCAGATAGAAGTGATATGTGGATATATATGCCATCCCTTATTTGACAAATATATGCAGGTACTGCCATGCATGTGCACTATCAGGCCTTTACCTTGGCGTGTCCCTCACAAACTCAGCTCAATTTATTTGTGCGTGTGCGTGAGTGTTTTTGTACACGTGTGTGTGTGTGTGTGTCATCCGACCAGACAGTGCATGATGCTATCAGCAGCAGAGGATATGAGTATTACTATTTATAACTCCCCTCTATCTCAACTTAGACACACTGTCCTGCCCCGCGGGGCAGGTGCATGTTTGTGTCTGTGCGTCATTGTGATTTGTGTGTGTGGCTGTTTGTGTGTATGCAACAGAGTGTGGGATTTGAGAGTGGGAGATTGTGATAGACAGAGCAAGAGGAAAAGAGCTGTGAATGACAGTGTGTTTATGTACGTGTGTGTGTGTGTGTTGTGTTTGTATGTGTGGGTGCCGCTAGCTGAAGGTGTGCGTGGAAACAAGAGACATGTCACACTTGACAAGGATGAAATGAAAGGATATGATTGGCTGTTTTCTGATGTCACGAATTGTGAGCCGTCCCAATTAGAAACAATCATACGCTGCTTAGTCACTCCAGCAGTCTCTTCTCCACCCATCCATCTCTCCTCTTTTCTCTGAGTCTGCCCTGCATCCTCTAATTTCATGTCTTTGTGAACTTTTTCTGCCTCCAACTCTCAGGCTGATTTGCTTTCTTTTTGTGTTTGTGTAGCTAATTCTTTTATCATGGATTGCATTTTCCAACATTTTTTTTTCATCTGTTATTCTACAGATCCACTCTTCATTTGTGTCTTGGCACCTCCCTCTATCTCACGCGCTTTAACGAAAACTGTGAAAATAAATTAAATGTAGTGAGCAATAATAAAACATGCAATTAAAAAATATGAACTATAATGAAGGAGCACACATAACAATTTGGAGTTATATGAGAAATACATACTGCTTGTGTTTATCATGGAAAGAGAAATTTGAACAATGGTGAGACAGCAGATGACAGAAACAGGATTAGTTGGTTGTCTTCACTTCCTCAATAGGAGAGTGAGAATAAAGACAGAGAGCTGATTTTTTATTCAGTTCTTTGTTGTCAGTGTTGTCCTTAAGAGTCTGCTTCAGTCAAGTGTTCAATAGATGTGCCAGTGGTCTCAGAATTATAGGCCAGGCCAACCTAAACTGCCTATTTTAGAGACAGCATAACGAAGCCTGTCTCATCAATATCTCATTCCAAGCTGTATTTATGATCATGCAGGCATATAAATTGAGAATATTCAGCCCAACCTCAACCAAATCTCTTCAGTGCATTTGGTTTCTGTTGGGTCTGATATACTGAGATCCCGTGAAGAATAAAGAGACATGGTTTTGTCCACTTAAATGAGAGCAGGCACGTGCTCAGTCTCATTTGAGATTCCTTTGGTAAAAGCAAGGTTACCGTTTTGTTCAGTGATAGATTTTGGTGTCCTCCCTCTGGGGTAAGTAGAGCTTGAATCCTTTCACACAGTCAGACACAATCAGACACATACGCCCACACACGCACACACACACACACAAAATATTGGCAAAATAATATTAAAGAAGAATTTTGTAGATATTATTCATAACCAGTGGCTAAACAGACAGATAAACCTTTGTCAATAAAATGGAAAGAAACACTGAAAGCACATGTGAGCCAACTGTTTTGTCGGGTGTAGATGTGAGTACTTAAAGAAGACAAAAATATCAATAACAAGACTTTAAAAACATTATTCCATACAATCCCATAATAAAGCCTCCTGATACAAAATGCTGTCAAAAGTTTCATTTATGATTGCTAACACCGCCTTCATAATTTTCCATCAGGAAAGAGGTGTGAAGAAAACCCCAAATCACAGATATGCCCATTTCCATGAGATGTTATCAAATGACATTTGTATTTTGCGAAACATGGTAGGTATTGCGGTGGAATCTTTGCTTAACAAATTACTAACATGGCAGATTTGCACAGGATTAAGATCAGAGACGACCACAGCAATTATTACAAATTGCTAGAGGTCCCCAGGTGATACCAGTCCCATGTGAAGAGGGCTACAGTCACATACACATCTGCCACTTTATTGTATTTTCTGTATTTCATGACTGGCGTTGTGCTTGTCAGAGTCTTCTGTATATTGCAGCAAAGTGTCGGCCGCTGCTGTGATGACGACAGGAAGTGACACGTCTTATAGCATGACCTCCATACTATCCCACCATGCTCAAGGATTGCTTCAGTTTCTACCCCATTAGAACACACACACACACACACACATACACATTTACAGAGAGCCTCTGAAGAGCACTTGATTCTGGTGAGCCATCCTCACATAGAGATACAATAACATTTAAGAGCACTCAACAGTCTTGATACGGGGGGGGGCGCACACTCACCCTCACACAAATAATGCAAACAGTGAATACGCACATTATACAGAGGCTATCAACACAGTAGAAAAAGGAAAAGGAAATGCTAGGTCATGCGTAGCGATGAAACTACATACAGTGTACTGATATGGTTACAAATTCAGTCCACTGCTCTGCCCTGCTTTCTGCTTGTGCCTATTGCCCCCATCAATCAAGGCCAATCAGTTAGATCTTCTTTGCATCTTAGTAATGTAATTCTGTCTACAGGGAAAGAGTTGTATAGTAATGGACAAGCAGACCAGTAGGCTACTGGAATGAACTGACCTGGAAAGTGCCATGTACTCATTTGTTTTTTGTATTAAGTGACTAGAAATTGGACACAACCTTTTTGTGGAAATGAGCTCATTAACACAGTTTTCTTTCTGAATCAGTGTACTGGTAGTGTGTGTCTTATTTGCGTAATGGCACTGTTTTTTAAGTTTTTGGTTGACATTTTCACAGATTCCTCAACAATCATTCATTCAGTCACCTCATGGCAGACTAGAACCAGAGCCTACAGGTGGATTTTAAGAAATATGTTCCACAATAAGGCCACAATTGCAGCTGAAGCTCAGTCAAGATCAATGTTAATGAAACTACATCATACCTGATCACATGTCTGTGTTTTATACTTGACTTTTACAGGATATATTGTAGGATTGAGGCTAATGCTGGACTGCATTACACTGCACAGTAGCTCCTAGCATTACGGTTGCTGCTTAATCACACCAACTCACCAACGCTGTCTTCTTTTTTTTAAGTTTAGTCACACCGTGGATGAATTCCTGTAGATGCAGGCAGTGTCAACATGCCGCCCGGGCCTTTACGTATGTCAGTGTGTGTAAGTGCATGTGGTGCATTTGTTCATTTTACGGGCAGAATCCCCTTTTCTTCATTTGTCTCATATCTCCGGCTGCAACCTTTTGTTTTGTGTCTTTTAGCCCTTGTTCTTTTCTTCTTTTTTTTTTCCAGCTGTCAGGTTGCAGCTTCACACACAGACACACATGCACAGACACACACACAGAAGATGTGCACACACACTATCCTGCAAGTCATCATAATTAGAGTGCCAAAGACAAGTGGTGTCAAGACAAGCCATGTGTGAACTCCTTGACATTTCAAGGTAACAGAAATCCACACAGAGACACACACACACACACACACACACACACACACACACACACACACACACACACACACACACACACACACACACACACACACACACACACACACACACACACACACACACACACACACACACACACACACACACACACACACACACAACAAATCATGCAACAAACAACCAAAGACATGGTAAAGCTTTGTCAGTCTATACATTTTGTACTGGTGCGCTCTTTTTTTCCCTGAATATTTTTAACTGTTTATTTTGACTCATTTCACCTCATTTAATAGCCTGCACCATAATGAGGTCATTTAAACGAAACCTCCAACACAAATGAACAGAGATAATTTGTCCACCTGTAATAGTGCTTGTCTGCTCTGTCCAAGCCCATGTCTCAGTTTGGCTGAATTAAGTGGCAAATGATTCTGAGTCAGGTTTAATGGAGTGGATATGTGTGACTTGGAGTGAATGTAGAGCTCGTTCCCCAGGACCAGGCCCACGGAGTCCTGCAGCCTTCCCGTACCGCACCAATCAAATTTGGGCATAATTAAATTGTTCTGAGCCCCTCATCCATATATTTCCTCCACAAGAAGCTTATTACTCTCGACCTGTGTGTGTGTGTGTGTGTGTGTGTGTGTGAGTGAGTGAGAGAGAGAGAGAGAGACTCTGAGTGAGAGAGACTCTGTGTACTCATATTATGCCAAAGTTTAAATGCTCTGATGCTCTGATTGATATTTCTGAGGTGCAGAAATCCAATAAACTAATTCTCTTCTTCCTCTCCCCTTATCTTCCCTTTTCTTTGTCCCTCCATCCCTCTCTCATGTTCTCTTTTTTCAGGATGTAAAGTCGACATTCTTCCAGTTTGGTGCCTCCATCCAACAGGAGGCTCTGTTGATGCTCAACATCATGGAGGAATACGATTGGCACATCTTCTCCATTGTCACGTCAAAGTTCCCTGGCTACCAGGAGTTCATCAACGTCCTAAAAACTACTGTGGACAACAGGTAGGATCAGCTAGACACCTGCTTCACACCGCTTTTATTTCCGTCTCGTTAAATTGTATATTTGATTGTTATTATATTGGATAACAGCAGTCAACAAGATGATGCAGCATCATATTGTTACTCAAGAAGTAATGAAATCCTGGACTTTACTTGTCCTGATGTGGATGTGTTTGCAGACAGCGGTGACAACTATGCATTCTCCTCATTCCCCAAAATCTTTCAATGAAATGAAAAACCGAAGATAACATGCATTGTAGTAAGATTTAATACCATCCTGGCCTGGGCATTTCTCCAAGCCCATTTTCCCCATTTTGTCTGTAATCTCTATTATCACTGCAAATTTCCCCGGAAATGGGCATGTTTACTTTCTAGAAGAGTTACTGCACCCTGTATTTTGGGCCTTGTATTTTACATCCCCTCCACTCATACGGTATACTTCAAAGACAGCCCAGCCTAAAAGGATTCAATCAGCATTCTTAAAATGAATGTAGATGACAGGGAGGTTTACTACACATGCAGTTTGGCTGATTGCCGCACCTTTAGGTCATTTTGACTGATGCTGGAGGAAAAACTGCTGAAGAGAACCACAAGCCATAATTTTTAGCAAAAAAAATGTCAGATTAATGAAACATGTTCAGCAGTGTTGAGATGTTGGCAAGGGTTGGTGCCTGAACCCATGATTTATTAAAGCCCAGCTGAGGAGGGTATTTTTCATTAGCAGTTACTCTTCATGTCAAACCCAACAGTGGTTCAGAAGCGCTCTGCTTGTGTCTGCATTCAATAACACAAGTAGAGTGGCAACATATAGTTAACCAGCTGATTGAATAATATTATGAATTTGTCCCCCACCCAGGTGTTTGGGAAACTGGGAAGCGTGAGCTACTAAAAAATGTCTGCACAGTCACAATTTATCTAATATGTTGAAACGCTTTTTACATTCTGATCTGGGAGACCATTATCAGGTTAACTTCCACTTTGAGAAACAAATTATATTGTAAGAAATTGGTAATTAAAATGGTAAAAAAAAAACACTTTTTAAAAACCATGTTTGGTCCACAAGGATGCACAGTCCAGTGATTGTTTTACAGGAGTATTATTAGGAAGAAGAAGTGATTGCATCTCAAAATGGTAAGTGAGGTAAACTGTTGCTTTTATGAAAATATACATATCAAAAACTGCGATGCAGGAATCAGATCGTGTACACATTTTCCTTGCCAGCTTTAAACAAGTTCAAGCCCCTTGTTCATGAGTCTTTAGATCACCACTACACTTTAGTGCAAAACACCTACACAGCATTAGTGATGAAGAAAAGTAAATAAACATCCCTATTGTCAATATTCATACCCGCCTGAAGTGATGTTGACCTCAATGTTGAAATAATAGCCATAAATATCATTAATGAAGCAAGAAATAATAAGCTCAATTACCTGCAATTATCCATCGTCGATTTCCCGTGTCAGCATTCAGCTGGTTCACGGTGACTTAGTCATGGGCAGACAGTTTTAATACCAAAGAACGTCCATCATTCACAGCAGAAAATTGGACCCATCAACTCAGGGAGTCAAGGCTGACCTGACCATGGCAACTTTAGTATGTGCTGTGATTTACATGAAAACCAGGTCTAGATATATAACATGAGTATGAAGACATTTTATTGATATTGTACACAGCTGTCTGGTGGAGATGAATGCTGGCAAGCAGGTGGTCTGCCTGTCGGTATAATATGCAGATCAAAGGGGACAGAATTGGGCTTTTGGATGAGAACAGTTGTTCAGTCACATTTTGATTTATCTGTAAGACACACACCATACATACTTTTCAGCCAAAGTGATGTGCAGGTAAAGAGTGTGTGGATTTTATAGTGTAATATCATTATACAATTACATTTATTAAAATATAAATACATCTACCTTGTAAGTATCCACAACTATATTATTAAGTAATGATTTTTTACAGAAGAGGATGAGTGTTCACTTGGTAGGTGGTCTGTTGGGTTCAAAGCAAAGATTTGTATGTGTGTGTTCTCAAATTTCTTTGCAGAAAACAGGAAATGTATCTCCGTTCTATTGTTTTTAACATTGAAGTACTACATTGTCCCCTACTTGTTATTGCCACTGTTGTCTCTCTTTCTCTCGCTTTCTCTGTTAATGTGTCTCTGTGTATCATTGTCTCTCTTTACTAGTTTTGTCATCTGGGAGTTGTACACCATTATCACTTTGGACAGCAAGAAGAGGACAGCAAGTCCCACATCACTCTTATGTTACACTACCCGTCTATTGTTGGAATCTTGCATGATGGTTAACTGCTTCCCACTTTTCCCTGCCGTTTATGCTTTTTAACACTCTCCAGTCTCCAGTGGGTGTATGTGTGTGCGTGTGTGTGCCTTCCCGCGTTTGGCCCTCTCTCTGCCAGCTCTGCCATCAAGGACCTGTACTCCTGATACCACAGCATGCTACCAGTTTATGACATATTACTTTCTTTAATTACTAACAGAACTGCCATTTCCTCTGTTTCTGCTGCTCTTTAGCCTTGCACACTGGGACCTGCTGAATATTCTCTTGACATTGTGAAAAAGAGCAGTCAGTCCCACTGGACGAGAGAGATACACTATAAATGTGTTACCTTTTTAATAAGAGCTTGTTAACTCTGGCTACAGAACTACATTAAAAATTAGCTTTGGAATTACACAGATCTGTTTTCCTTCACAGTTGCTTTGAAAGTTACAGTTTTAACACTCCATAGAGGAAAATCTCTATGTAAAAACATCTATCTTCAGCCACATGGTTGTGCAGGAGCAATGTAATATTTATGAACCTATTTTTTTGTCTAAAAGATGTGACGGATGCTGGGTTCCATGTTGAGAACAGGACTATATTCTGATTACTGTTGTCACTAATTAGCACTTTGACCACTGCGTTGGCCCTTTCACATTAACAGACAAGTGTTTGTTCTCCTTGTCCTTTAGTTGTTTGGGCTGGAACCTGCTGAGCATCATTATATACGACCAGCCTTAGCATTTGCATTCCATGTAGCCCTAATGTGTTTCCCCTGACAATAAGCATTTTTTGCCTATTAGCATTCACATCGCACTTAACGATGATATTAATTATCATGGATAATTATAACTGTCCTTGCCAGCACCTGAGCAAAGTTAATAGTCTATTAGTTAAATATTAACATTTCACTCTTGTCCTTGTTATCCTTGCTTTAGTTTTGTGGGCTGGGATCTGCAGAATATCATTATTCTGGACGCAGTGGAGGAAGACAGCCGGTCTCAGATCATGCTCAAGAAGGTCCAGTCCCCAGTGGTCCTGCTCTACTGCTCCAAGGATGAGGCGGTCTACGTCCTGGAGGAGGCTCGCTCACTCGGCCTCACTGGATTTGGATACATCTGGATTGTGCCATCACTCACCACTGGGAACCCAGAAATAACACCTGACGAGTTTCCACCAGGAATGATTTCAGTGTCATACGACGACTGGGACTACCCGTTGGAGGCTCGGGTTCGGGATGGTCTGGGAATCATAACGTCAGCAGCAGCAGCCATGTTGGAGGAGTTTGGTGACATCCCTGAAGCCAAGACTTCCTGTTATGGCCAATTGGAGAAGACGACCAAGCTGCCACCCAGTGCGCTACATAAGTAAGTAAAGAAAAGAGTGCTTTTGTTTGTTTTTAATGATTAGTAAGAAATACACTAAGTTATGTGTCTTTTAAGATGGGAGAAAAATAGAAATGGAAGAATTATTTAAGATTTCATGAAGTGTTGTGTATTTTTATATCATCAAGAGAGTAGCTGTGTTAATGCACTTAGAAGTGTGTGTGTGTGTGTGTGTGTGTGTGTGTGTGTGTGTGTGTGTGTGTGTGTGTGTGTGTGTGTGTGTGTGTGTGTGTGTGTGTGTGTGTGCGGGTATATTAGTTTGAATGCATGGCTTTTGTTTTCACCTTGTCCTCAGTAATTAGAGACTTCCACCAAGTTTCCACAAAGTCTAAGTTGAGAATTGAGATTGAAGAAAAATGCAATTAGTGGATAAAAGACCAAGGGATTGAAAGTTACAGCTATGAGAAGGGGGGGGGGGGGGGGGTAAAAGAGTTGAATGGGAATTGAGGAGGGAGTTTGTGATTTAGACAGTGAAGAAATGGGGAAAGGGAAGGAATTGGGACTCGGGTAACAGCAGGAGGCTGCTACAAATGAGTGCTCTCCAAAATTGAAGAGCTCCTTGATGAGTCCTTCTGTTCCTCTTCTCACTTATTCCTCCATCTCTCATTCATTCTCTTGTGCTCTCTTTCCCATATTGCGCTTGCTCTCCAGCAGCCAGTGGGAGATGTTGTAGGTCCTGCCAGCTCTGTCTGGCTTTCCATCTGGCAAAGCAAAGGACAGGCGCACACAACCTGTGTTTACATCCCAATATTGTTTTGTTTTTTTGTGAAATTGCAAATCTTATGTCTTAACAAACGTCAGAAACGTACATCTTGTAATTAAAATGCTTAAAAATTATGACAAGTGTTAACAGTCTGATCATCATTTTGGCAAACACTGTAAATCATACATGTATACATGTGTGCAAGTCATCTTAGTATCATGTTACCATTCATTAGTTTGCTTCTATCTTTGATGAAGGCTTGAAATATGGTTAAAAATAACTAACACTAAAGAGCAGCAACTTGTCCTTTATGAATCCGTTTTGAAAGATGTATTTTCTGATATGCTCTTCTGATGGTCAAGAGACTTAGTTATTGTTTTTTTACCCAACATCATCTTAAAAGTTTGCATAATGTTATCTTCAGTTTGATAATAGAAATAGATGGGAGACTGAGAGCACACATTGAGGACAATAGAGAGAGAGAAAGAGAGAAAAAAAGAGGAGATGGTATTTTCTCTTTTGTGTAACAAGGGCCTTTTTAGATCTAGTTAAGTCCCAGTTATTTCCTCTGCTAAACTAGTTTAGTAAATCGAGATTGAAGTGTAACATTTTCCTCTGAGGCCAGCTTGCAGCAGCTGTCTATAAATTTTTACTGGCCTGAAACATTTTTATGTACTTGGTCAATAAATCAACCAGAAACTCTTTTGGCTTATTGTGGCTAACGTTACATCAAAGGGTGCTTATCTGCCCACCTAATGTCCTGTCCAATTTGCACCAGTAGTGAACATGTTTCAGTCTCAGAGTCCCTCCACATTTCAACAAGAATTTATTTGAGCTCTGCAGAAACCAAACCAAGTGTTGTACACCATGGATAGTTAAGGGGGCCTGGGAGATTGGAGCAGCCCCAGCAAAAACAAGACTAAGCTAACTCTGCCTGTTTAGACAGCTTGAAATCTCAGTGGTCACAGAGGCAACAGAAGAGTTACTGGCACTGATCAGCATCAAAATTTAGGAGCCCCCACTCATAAATGGTGGTAATTTTCTGGGGTAACAACATCTATGGGACTTTAAATACCAATTTCACACTAATCTTGTTTTGTCAGGTAACACAGATACACCAAAGGGAATTACCAAATATCCAGAGCCAGCATGCTCTGTTGCCTCAGGTTGTTACCCAGGTTATGAGGTGACCACAGATGGCTTTGTTGTGGGTGAGAGAGCACAGCCAATAGGGCTTCAGGGCCAAGACACGAGAAACATGATTGGTCAAGGCTAGGTCGGGGCAGCGGGCCAATGTGGGTTGTTAGACCATCAAAGGCTGTCAGGGGAGGTAAGAGGACATGGCCGGCGCTCACACTTACTGAGTTGAGCAGATAGGCTGTATGTACAAATGTATACATACTGCAGTATTTATAGTGTTTTATCCTTGTCTTCTCCTTAGTTCTTCAGTGGGTTCACTGCTTTGTTGTTAAGATGTAAATAACAGCATTACCTATTCATCTGGCATTCAGTTTGAAGTCTGTGTTTCCATACTTGAATGCCTCTCAGACTCAACTGTGATTTGTGACAACAATTTGATTCAGGGTGGATGTTGCTTCTGTCCTTAAGTGAGCCACATGTCACATTAGAACAAAACTTTTGTTTTGAAGAGAATATTATTAATAGGTGGTGTTGATATCCCAGAAGTCTGACAAGGGCCGTGTAGTATAGGTTTACCTCACTCACATTGCCTGTGGCAGCTGTAATGATAAATCCACTGTGACACATTCAAGATGAATATGTTTTGCAGAGGAATTGAAAATATTAAATTAAATAACAATAGGAGACAAATGACCTGCGCAGCAGTCAGGCAAAGCAACAACTTGGGCTCCATATAAAATATGCTATGGGTTTATGCATGTGTGAGTGTGTGTGCTTGTGCATGCACTTGCGCGTGTGCGTGTTAGAAACAAGAGAAATAACCCCCCCTTTAGAGAATGTTCTGCCATGACAGATTTACAGTGTACCACTCACCTTGCTGTAGTGAACAGTGTCCCTTAAAAGACTTTAGCACTTATTTATCAGTGTGTACGTGTCTGTCTGTGAGTGACTGTGTGTGTGTGAAAGGCGTGTTGGTAGTAGTTTGTTCTGACAGGTAATTTCAGTCTCTAGCCCTGATATATGAGGGTCAGAACTCAGGAAATACACGTGTACGCGCATACACATCATACACACATACTGAGACTGAGACCCAGGCTGTTGTCATGTGAGCTGTGCAGAGACATTGCCTCATGTGCATGTGCTTTAAAAGATGCATGTGACAAATGCAGCACATTTTATATAAGTTTTTAAGCAATTATCAAGCTTGTAGAGTAGTATGTTTAAACTAAATACATAATGATTCTCTCTCTCTCTCTCTCTCTCTAGATAGATAGATAGATAGATAGATATATAATGGCATAATGACTTGCTAACTACCTCTGTGTGAAAATGTGTGTTAATTTATTATTCCATACGTCCTGCCAGACATACTGTAAATTTCTGTTTGCAGTTCCCTTGCGACTTCTGACAGATGTGACCTGACAAATATTTCACTAGATGTGGGGAAAATTTATAGGGGGTAGTCCCATTAAATAAACTGCTGTGTTTAATGTAGTGTGTATATTACTGTATGTAACCTTCACTGTGTTGTGTTGGAGTGTAATCACACAATAAGGAAGTAAGCAAAAATGCATGATTACCAAATAAGAAACAGGTTTTCTTTGGACAGAGTTCTAAAAGAAAGAATGCACCCTAACAGGGGGAGTTGGGTAGACAGAGTCGCTAATACCTGTGGGCATGAGTGAGAATATCTGCAATCATGAAAATCTCTCTTGTCAGCTTAAGTATTAGCATGCCTTGCAGGTAACCATGCGTGTAACAGAAGAACTTAATCTGTACATTTACAGGTGTGTCTGTGTGTGAGTGTACAAAAAACTGTTTAATATTATTGACATAAAAAGTTCATTGCAAAGCAGCAGTGGATACCTCTGTTTTAAACCTAAAACAATGAGCTAATTGTAGTTCAAGTTCCTGATGCTTAGCCTGAACACACACACACACACACACACACACACACACACACACACATACAAAATAAAGGGAAACAAGTCATTTTGGACAACCTATAGGGCATCTAGTTAGCTTTTAGCAGGAGGACTAGTCTTTCTAGTGTAAACTTTGCCTCCTTTTTGGTCTGATTTAGCTACTGTGTTGTCAAAAAGATCTCAAAAGACAGATTCTGGTTTTGACCTGATATGTTGTTGCTGCATTTTGGCTTTGTAGGGCAAAACAGCTGTCGGTATTATGTTTATTAAGCAGGAATAGCAGATGACGCGTTACATCTCAGAGATAAATGAAGAGCGTGAAGAGACAGGCAGAGATGGAACAGCTGAGCTGAAGATATGAAGGGAGTTTAGTCGCAATGTGAACTACTGCAAATCCCATTGCACAGGAGGTTTATTAATTTTTCATCTGAGGTAAGGCTATCTAAGGAAGGTGCTCCAACGTTGTGTAGGGGATTTGCACATTGGAGAAAACCCATGATACTCACTCTCACTCAACTCAGCTACAGTATAAAGGATCCCAAGCCAATACACAAATAAATCCTATTTTGTGCAACAAAAGAAGTCCTGCTGAAGTCGCTGTGTGGACATGTTGCATTTTATGGTGCAGCTGTAAGTTTGGAAAAGACAAAATTTAATTGTTAGCATTAATCTTGTACTGCTCCAAACACACAGAAAAAATAACTGCACAAACATAATCTACACACAAACATGCACATACACCAGGGACAACAGGAGGGGCAGACACTGCAAAGCTAGCATCTACTTCACCTTGTACAGTCATCATTCATGCCACACTTAACACATGCCACCTGAGGCTGAGTGTGTTTTGAAGTGACTACCTACCCTTGTGTCATCTTAAAAGACCTAAATCAGCACTGATAGCTGCTATCAGTGTACCCCTCCACACACACACACACACACACACACACACACACACACACACACACACACACACACACATACACGTACACACCACAGTCTATGGTACACACACACAGAGAAGACTATGTCTATGATCTTGGTATAAATCATGGGTGCTGACAGTATACATCATTGCTCTGACTGATCCTTGTCTTGACGAGGGATAAACCTCTATATCTTAACACACGTCACACACACACAAACACACACATACACTATACTGGGCCAGATTTACTAAAGGTTTGTGTGAGTAAAAACATGTAAACTGTGCA